ACGGCCTGGGAAGCCCTTTGTTACTTACCTTACCCGGGAACTTTGCATTGCCTCTTGGTAATAAGGGTAGTATGCTTATAATAAAATAAGGTTTTTCCTTGATTCCTAGGATATTGCTTCAGTACTAGGATGTATATTTTATTAGGTTATATTTGATGGTTTTTGCAGGTTAGTAGATATTGTCAGAAGCTTAGGAGACTCATAAGCTTTGGATTTGTAGAAAACCTTTGGTTTGTAATGTTTTCTTAAACCTTTGTTTTGATATCTGTTGTAGCACTCTCGCATGAAATGTTGTATCAAACCACTAAATGTTTTGGGAAACTTTTATTAGGATCACTATCCGCTTTGAACTCTGAAAAATATTTTGATTTAAACGTTGAGACTATTTTTCCACAACTAAAACTATGAAATTATTTTAAAGTATTTTATTAAAGGGCTATTTCAGATAGACCCAAGCTAGGGGTGTTACAAATGGCGATCAAGATTACTAGAAAAGGATCCACGATGATCCACAACAGTCAGCATGCCACTACGCATGTACTCCTTTGTGTTCTTTACAACTCTACAAAGTTAAATCAAACTTACTGATTTTCAAATCCAAATTTTACGTTGAATTTTTAATAACTTCACTTCAAACTTTTTGTTATCATATTAAAAGTTATCTTTCCAAACTAAAAGTGTAACTCATTCTTTCTATTACCAACCAATTTTTATAAAATTTAGAACTGAAGTCCAAAAAGTCAAAAAATGGAATGTAGTTGCTTACAATTGCGTCTGGTTAGAATCAAGAAAGTGCATTGATTGGAATATGCTGCATGATGAAGTTGTGAACACAAATCTTTCAAACTCCTGCAACAAAAGCAAATAAAAACTCAAAATTCAAAACAAAAATCAATCATATTATGAAAAAAAAAAAAAAACAACAATTATTGTGTTATTCTTTCAAATTTTTGGTCCTAAATTCGGGTTTTTTTCTTCATTTGATTGGTTAATGGTTATATTAATAGTAAAATACATGCAAGAACACACACAAACTTGTGTTTTGATGGAACAATTCCTACATATAAGAAAACGGATCAACTTACGGTTGATGGTTATATATATATATATATATATATATATATATATATATATATATATATATATATATATATATATATATATATATATATATATATATATTCATTTGTGTTTTACCTTGATCTCTTTCTTGCCAATACAAAGCTCCACAACCTTTCTTTGCTCTTCTATAATTGTGAAAATGTCTGCGTTCAATGGTTAATCTATTAAAGATAATTACGTGTTTACAATATACCATCTGAATTCATCATATTTTATCTATTGGTAGCAATGTACTTCTGTCAGAATTTCAAAATTTATTAAAATGATAGTGTTTTTTTTCCATTTGTAGCAATGTACTTTCAGTTTGATTTTAATAAATCATTAAATTAGATATTACATTAAATCATATATTTTCTATTTTTTCGAAATTATGTATTGAATCTTAAACTTCAAAAGAACATACGATGATGATGTTTCTCTCTCAAAACTTTTTCCCTGGATTTTTCTGAAGTATTTTTTTTTTGATTTAATATGATATATAGTTTGAAGGTTAATGTTGATGTGAATGTGAACCCACTACACAAGTGCTGGAGTTTTTCAGATTTTGGAGGTAAAATAAATACATAATAATAAGCTTTAAATTAAGAATTTGACCATTACAATCAAATAAAAAGGCCCAACAACTTTCATTATCGCATTTCTCTAAACATACGGAATATTTAATACCCCAAAACAAACAATAACAACCACTTCCACCCTATGTGAAGCATGGGCTAACCCCTAGTTCTAATTAAAAAGGTGTAAAAAATGGCAATCATATAATAGAAAAAGAAGTGAAAGGGCTATAACTGTCCAACTTAATCTATCTAATTGGGTAAGAGTCTGCAGACCGACTAAGAGGTGAAATTTTGACGAAACAAACGGTCTGACCGAGTCAAAGGTTACCTCTTACCGGACCAGTAAGAGGCAAACAAACAACCCCTTAATGTATATTATAAGTTAGAGTAAAGAGCAAAATTTGTCCATGTGGTTTACCAAAAAGTGCATTTTGAGTCTAATTTTCCTTTTTGTCGCACAGATGATCCAAATTTGAAACTTCTATGCAAATTTGGTCCCTTGAGTAAATTGTCGTTATCTTTGTCTAGTTAAGTTGGTTACATGTTCCTCATGTGAGGGTATATTTGTCATTTTATATATTTGTTTTATATTATTTTTATATTTAAAATCAAAAACACATACCCATACCCCCTCCTCTTCCATCTCTCCTCTCTCATATTTCTCATTTGATTTTCACAACTAGAAGATACCACCACCACCACTCTCATCACCGGAACACTGGCCTCATTGCCGAAACACCGCCTTCCTCGTCGGAATGTTGCTACCTCGCCAAAACGAAACCCCTAGCTTGCTCTCAGATCTTAAAACATACGGCAAGGTTTCAGATCTTACCAACATTGTTGATGTTAGGGTTACTAGAGATCTACAATTTTTCTTACCACACTGTAGAAGACGAAGGGCAGCGACAACATTCCAGATAAAAAAAACCCATGAGCATCCATCCTCTTCTCCATTGATTTCTTTTTCCAGTAGGTTTTTATTTCTAAAAACCCTAACTCCTACGAGTTCGTATTTGAGAGTATGTGTTCATCTCGTTTTCAGGAGGTTATCACATCATGAGAGTTAGGGTTTTAGAAAATCCTAATCGATTTTGCTTTCAAGAGGTTTTTGCATATCTATCATGGATTAACTTAGCTCAAGAGATGAAAAGCCTAATATGCCATGGATGAACAAACTCGATTTTTCCAGATCTGCAAAAACCTCTTGAAAACAAAATCTGAAATTCAGGAAAAATCCTAATCGATTTTGTTTTCAAGAGGTTTTTGCAGATCTGGAAAAATCGAGTTTGTTCATCCATGGCATATTAGGCTTTCCATCTCTTGAGCTAAGTTAATCCATGACAGATTAGGGTTTTCAAACTTTCAGACTTTCTGGTGGTAGTGGAACAAATGACATGAAGATGGTGGTGGTCCGACGAAAATGGTGTTCCGACGGCCGGTGGTGGTCCGGTTGATCATATAGAGAAAGACACTAAAAGGATAGAAAGGGGTAAGTATGAGTGATATTTTTAATTTTAAATAATAAAATAATAGAGAGAAACATGTAAAATAACAAATATGCACTCACATGAGAAACATGGGACCAACTTAACTGGCGAAAGATAATGGTAGTTAACTTGAGGACAAAATTGGAAATTTGGTCATTGTGGTTTGCAAAAATCTTTAGATGGGGTCCATAAAGTTTTCAGCTTGCACAGAAGGTCCAAAAACAAGGTTTTTCTAGGTTTTTAGTCCAAAAAAACTTGAAAAGACGATTATACCCTTTTAATTTCTTTTTTTTTAATTTTTTACAATTATTCTAATACCATTTTAACTTAAAAATAAAAGAAAAGAAATGTATTATCCCTCACCCACCCATACGTTTTCTCTCTCTCTCTCTCTCTCTCTCTCTATTCATCTTCTCCAACATACCAATCTACAACTTGGAAATAGCATTCCATCATCAAAACTGCAAAACCCCACCCACATAATTCCTGGTATGTTCACATAATTCATCTCCAGATCATTTGTAAAATCACTTAGAACTTGGATGAATCAAATTTCTTTCGAGAATTACTCTAGGGTTTTCAAGGGTTTTCATGTTCTGGGTTCATCGATTTCCTGGGCTAACAATTTCAGGGTTCGAACGATTCTTGGGTTCTATTTATTTACAGAATAATGAACAATAAAGATGATTTCTACAAATCTCAATCCAAGGAAGAAAGAACAAAAAAAATGATTTTTACAATTGTGTGTGTATGTGTTTGTTTATGGACTCAGGAACAGAACCTTCATCTTCGTGCTTTTCGTTTCAAGAATAAGAATAAACATGTTTCTAGGATCAATTTTCATATCTCGAGTTCTGGGGATGAACACGAATCAATTTCCAACAACACACACATTGGACGCATTTCTGGGTCTGAAAAAGGACCTGATGATGAGTCGAGTTTCAATCTTCAGTTTTTGAATTATTGGTTCTGAAAAAAAGAAAAAAAGGAGAGAAATAAGAATATGATATGAGTGTTCTTGAGTTCTAGTTTGTTCTTGATCTAAGAGAAAAAAATCAGAAGAGAGAGATAGAGAGAAAGAGAGAGGGAGAGAGAGAGAGAGAGAGAGAGAGAGAGAGAAGTATCAGTGGAGGGAGGGAGGGAGAAAGAGACGTAAGAGAGATAGAGTTTTACCCATTTTATTATTATTATTATTGAAATGTTAATAAAATGTAAAAAAAATGTAAAAGTAAATAAATAAGGGTATAATCGTCTTTTCAAGTTTTTTTGGACTAAAAACCCAGAAAAACCTTGATTTTGGACCTTTTGTGCAAACTGAAAACTTTTTGGACCCCATCCAAAGATTTTTGCAAACTACAAGGACCAAATTTGCAGTTTTGTCTTAACTTGAGAGACCAAATCTAGAAGTTTCAAATTTGGACCATCTGTGCAACAAAATAAAAAATGAACTCAAACTGCATTCTTTGGTAAACCGTAGGGACCAATTTTGTTATTAAAAATTTTATACCAAAATTTGTAATTTTCAACTCTCTATAAAAACTAGTTCAACATATTTCCATACACATCTTAAATTCTTCATTTCTAGTAACTTAAATCTTGCCCCTGAAATATTTCTCCAATCTTATTTCTCGATTCCTAGAAATCGACTTCCCATCCCTCCATGCTTCTACAACCCGCAATTTGTCAACATAGATATCATCTCATCTAGTGACAGATTGCAATGAGGACTTAAAATTCATCTTCTCTTCTTTTTGCCAAGAACATTTTCAGTCAACAACCAAAATCCCACTTTGATATCATCTGTCACATATATAGAGTCCTTCAAGAAAAACCGTCATGGAAGATGGTCGCCTTCGTCACCAAAGGATTAAAAAAAATCAATCCAAATCCTCTGAAAATGCTTCAAAATTTGTCATTTAACATTTCTTTAAACGCCACACTCAAAACCACAAAAAACAAAAGCCCACCATCGCAAAAAACTTCTTCTGTCGATGTGATGTCAGGTTTGGGACTAGTGTGTGCAAGTCTAACTAATGCTATGAATAAAATGTTTTGATTTATTTAAATATATCTTTTTTTGTATTTAGACGACAATACAAAGATTACCATACACAATTGGTTAAAAGGGGGAGATGGGGTTAACCACCAAATGATGTCACATGAAAGCACAGAAAGCTAATGGATTATTTCTTGATAAATATAACAATTAAAATACAAGCCAAATGTTACAAACTTACAATATCTTTATAAATATAAATCTTTTCATAATCTCAAGCAATGTAAAACTTGAATTTATCTATAATCAAATCACAGAATGAAGAGAAAAACATCAAGAAATTGTGTTATTTCTTGGTGGATTTACCTCCAGCATCACCACTCCCTGCAGCCTTTTCTGCTTTCTTGGCAGCCTTCTCTTGAAGTGCTTTTCCATCCCTGTGTTGTGTATCACCCGTTAATTAACATCTTAAATATAAAAAAAAAAAAAGTTTGAGGTTTAATACAGAAAAACACAATATATAAGGTATTTTATTATATTAACTAAAAAATTTAATAAATCCTTTCAAACAAAGGAATGTATAATTTGATTTTTATTGTGGAATAGACCAATTTCAACTATAAATTAAAAATAAATAAATAAATCTTGAATTTCTAACGAAAAATTATTACCAAAGAATCAACTTTTTGTAGTTCACCTGACAACATCTTATGGTAACCAACTATTGCACAAATTAAACACACCAAATGATTAAAGTTTCAATTTATTCAATTTTAACCCATTTAACCAGCTGAGTTGGCATCCTATGTGGCATACACTTGGCTAAAATCATCCATGTCAGCTTGTTTTTCCTAAAAGCAGGATTGTCTACTTTCGTGTTAACTAGGTATTTTTTCAAAGTAGGGGTTTTGAGTAAAAAGATACCTAAATGAGACAAGAGACAATGTTATTTTTGAATAAAACCGGATGATTTGGACAACTGTTGCCAACATTACACCAGGTAGGATGCCAGCTCAGCTGGTTTGCAAGTTGAATGGGATAAAATTGGATAAAAAATGACTAAACTAAAACAAAATTGAAACTTTAATTTTCATTTTTTCTGTTCCAATTGACTGACCCTAAGAGCTGTAACAGTTCAATTCACTAGACACATAATCATCATTTTGTAAACAGAAAATTGTTGGATGGCTACTTAACTACACAAACCTGTCTGATACTTCAGAGTTCAGAGATTCAACTCTCCCCTTCTTTTAAAAAGAGTTGCAGACAATTAGAATGATGGCTTTCTTCTTATAATAATAAGAGTTCCTTTTCACCAAACATACCATAGAACTGATGAGATACAATAAGAATTTTAACAGAAGTAAATGGTAAACCCCATTATCTGGTGTTTAGTTCTTTGTATTCAACAATTATTATGGTTTGTGTGATTATTAAACTTTACAAAGACTTACAAGCGACTCTTATTCACAAATCTAGCAAGATTAATTGCTAAACCACGTAAAAACTGTGTTTAATTCTTCGTTTTCTAGTATTTACAGAATGTGTAATTCTCAATCGTAAATTATTCACAAATTAGCAACACCAAATGCTAGATCCATTGCATCATAAGGACTAAATCTAAGTTATATTTGACGCGCCACAAATTAACAGATATCAACACAGAAGACACAAAATTTTACCAAAATTAGGGCAAATATTCAAACCTTTCACGACGTTGTTCAGGAGTCAACCCATCGTCTTTGTTCTTCCCTTTGGCGCCACCACGAGCATTAGCTCTTTCGCGATCCTTCTCCCTCTGGTTACCTCGTTCGATCTTCCATTAAGAAAAACATATACACAAACGAAATCCATGTGTAGATATTTGATGAAAAATATATAGAAAGTAGTAGATAGATAGCATCAGATCTAGTACGAAAAGCAACAAACTATGTAAAACTGCAAAAGGATATGAGTCATCGTCGGAGAAGAAATCTAAGATCTGGTTTGCGTGAAGTTGAAGTTGAGCAGGTGAATAATGGGCTCTAAACTGAAGTAAATACTCCATACCAAAGGAAAATATCGAAATTAGAATATTTTATTGGTTTAATGACTTTTTCCCAAGACTGAATAAATTTATTAAATAAAAGGAAATTGACTTATTAATGTAATTATTTTTTTATTTTGTTCGGACTAACTTTTTTTTTAAATATCTAGATAACGAATTTTTTGAAAATGTTCGCATATGGCTATTATGACCGGTTGTGACAAGTCACATCCGGTCATAATAGTTATATGTGAACATTTTTATTAAGTTTGTTACCTAGATGTATATAAAAAAAGTTATCCAAATATGAACAAAACAAAAATGTTATTACCCTGACACAGAAAAAAACACATCGTCGTTTTATAAAGTTTTATTATTTAAGATATTGAATATAAAAATTAAAATTTACTAGATACTAAAAGTATCAGAGATAGAGACCAATAAAATGAAGAAGAACGTCATCCTCAATGGAGTTTGCTCTATGTATTATACGAATTTAAAATACAAAAAATAAAAGTAGTTTTTATCTCTCTCTCTCTCTCTCTCTCTCTCTCTATATATATATATATATATATATATATATATATATATATATATATATATACACACACACGTGATGTGTAACACCCAAATTTTCAAAACGATTTTTCACATTTTATAAAACACGTTTTCATTCATAATCGTTATAAAAACACCATTGTATCACATAACATCATATTCCAAGATCATAATAAAATCTCCCCGCGTGTGTACTGATCAAGCCGGCGCCTTCCCGCGATCCTCGCTGGTACCTGAGACACATAACACAACACTGTAAGCATAAATGCTTAGTGAGTTCCCCAAAATACCACACATAACACATATTAGCCACTCGAGGCTATAGTGTTTGACACTCTGGTCAAAGTGTCTCTGTGGGACCCCCCCCAGTCCCATAACTCTGTGGGCCCTCTGGCCCTAACTCTATGGGTCCTCTGACCCTAACTCTGTGGACCTTCCGGTCCTAACTCTGAAAACTCTGTAACATACATAGCATATAACACATAGAAATCACATCATGCAAAAGCATACACAATACTCTGTCTCATAGCTCTAATTACCACTCTAGGTAAAGTATAGTGAGAAGACTCACCTCGGGTAACTCGGTAAAGCTCGAACTCTGTAAAGTCGGGTCTAGCCTCCGCCTAATCATATGAAATAAACACTCTGAATCAATACATCTCTCAAGGCTAGACTATTCCTCCTCTTAGTACTCTCAGAAAGGTAAAAGACCATTTTACCCTTCTCATGGCTCAAAGACCCTAACGTTGACCAAACCCTAAAAGTCAATAAAAGTCAACGGTCCAACTTTTGACCCGACTCGCCGAGTGCACAAATGTGACTCGGCGAGTTCAGTCGTGAACTCGAGTCCTCTATTCCCCCTCTGACTCACTGAGTCATTCCCCCAACTCGGTAAGTCACTCACTGAGTGACTCACGGGAAACCCTAACCCTACTCGCCGAGTCTGCCCTTGGACTCGGCGAGTTCATGTCATGCACTAACTCAAATGACCTCCTGAGGTCAGATCTGTTCCTCTAATCCCTAGATCTGGCCTTCCCAACCACTATAATCACGTAAAGTCTCGATCTTGATGCACAAGCAACATTTATATGACCATATATGATGATTTAGCCCCAAATACCTTAACCCAAGGCCATGACCTCTATTGTTCTTCATAAAGCTTGATGAATAAGGCTCTCTGGACCTCTATGGATCCAGATCCAAAGCCTTATCACCAGAAGGGGCTATTTGGACATCAAATCTAACCAACAAAGGGTCTAAGAAACCCTAAATCCATATGATCATCATAAGAACAGAAGGAGAGTCGAATTACTACCTCAAATGTGAAGATCTTAGCTCCAAATCCACAGAATAGCAACCTCCTATGCTTCCTCTTGGCTAGTACCTCCTTCTTCTTGCTAAACAACACTTCCAAGGTCAAGAATGGCTTCCTTTCTCTCTCAAAACGCTCAAGCACTCTAGGGTTTCTCTCTATGGTCTGGTAGCCGCCATTGAAGGCCATAAGGGCCTTTAAATAGGTCCCAAACCCAAGAAATTAGGGTTTCATTAAACAGCGTGGACTCGCCGAGTCCACGTATGGACTCGCCGAGTCCAGTCATTAACCCGGATGGAGATTCGCGACTCTACTCGGCGAGTCTGAGCGCCTACTCGCCGAGTCTCTCTCCAAAACTCAATAAAATACATAATTTAAGATACCTGGGAATCCGGATGTTACATGATGGTTCAAATGAGTACAACAAATAAAGTGAGAACACTACTTTTATGTTATTATTCTACTACGAATTTTGTATATAAAACTTTATGTCACTAATCATCAATGAATATATGAACAACTAAACATTAATATTCACATTATAATTACTACTATGCTACACATATTAAATTCATAGCAAAATAATAACATAAAAGTAGAGTTCTCACTTTATTTATTGTTCTCATTTGAACTTAACTTTTATATATATATATATATATATATATATATATATATATATATATATATATATATAGCTATTTGATAATTATGTTATCAAAAACGGCTCCAAACATGTCGTGACCCGTTTAAACGGGCATAAATATTGTTTTAAGGAAATTTAACTAAATATGTAACATCCCAATTTTCAAGGTCAAAAATTTCATTTTAATTAAGTAACTCATAAAATAGTTTACCAAAAACCCTTGCCAATGTCATAATAATTTATAAAACTGTAACAACGTATCTCAAAACCATAACATCACTAGTAATTAAAATCAGAGTACAATCCCAGAAAACTCGATGCGGAATCATGTGTGAGTGTGATGTGCCGCTACCGCGCCGACTCCTTCCCCTTCGCTGAAGAGGTAACTGAAACAAAACTGAAAACTGTAAGCACGAAGCTTAGTGAGTTCCCCCATCATACCACATACCACATATTGTCTATCCCTCGGTATCTTTCAACCGGTATCTGTCTGGCATAACTGGGAGCTGGGCTCCCCTTCGGTATCTTTCAACCGATAACCGGGAACTAACCTCCCCTTCGGTATCTTTCAACCGGTAATCGGGAGTTCACCTCCCTTTCGGTATCTTTCAACCGGTAATCGGGAGCTACCCTCCCCTTCGGTATCTTTCAACCGGTATCCGGGAGCTAACCTCCCCTTCGGTATCTTTCAACCGGTAATCGGGGACTATTTCACCCCCTACCACTATCATATAATAACATATCATAAACATGCTGATAACATATCATGATCACACTGCCAAACATGCATGGGTACTATCTACCCCTTCGGTATCTTTCAACCGGTAACTAGGGCTAGGTCACCCCTACCACTACAAACACATATGTCATAGCGTCCTAGCACATAAAGCATATCAGATAACCACATCAGATAATTGTCACAAAGACAGTCATCTAACAAACAACTCCTACTAGTGGGCCGGCATTGTGGTCGTAGACCCACTCCTACTGGAAGGTAACTCACCTCGATGTCGTGTAGTATCTGCACGGTCCTCGGCAAGGGAATCGAATCGTTTCTACTCTCCAATCCCTACACAACAACCCTTTTCCGATTACTATTGCATACTCATAACGCTTACAAGGGTCAATCCAAATCCAAGTCAAAGTCAAGGTCAAACCCTGGTCAAAGTCAACATCCAGTTGACTTGACTCGCCGAGTTGGTCCACCAACTCATCGAGTCCCTATCCTTTCAAGTGATACAACCCCCGACTCTACTCGTCAAGTCTAGCAAGAACTCGACGAGTTCGCCTTCATCCATAGCATCGGGACCATCTTCAACCGACTTGTCGAGTTCCCTTTGAACTCGTCGAGTTCATCTCCCTCATACGAATGTGTTCAGTCTATGACTCGCCGAGTTGTATGAACAACTCGTCGAGTATGTCTTCAAGGTTTGGGAGATTGTCTTGGACTCGCCGAGTCTGTTCATACACTCGCCGAGTCCTATGATTTCCAGTTCCAAAACAAACCCCTAGCAGGCTAAGTGTTCCTTCCACTCAACTAAAACCATTTCCAGAAGTCGTTTTTGGGAAAGAAACGTCCCGACTTGCCGAGTCACCCAAGTGACTCGCCGAGTCCCTTTTTGTCCAACACTATATAGTCGATTATAATGGGTCTTAACACGTCAAAACCATAGATCTGGCCTCCTAGGGTCCATTTTATACGTAAAGCTTCGAACTTGATGCACATGCATGGGGCATTTGGCTCAAAAAGCCATAAAAGGAGGTCTACAAGATGCATGGGGTGTTTATGCCAACAAAGTTGGCACCTTTATGCCATAAAGACCCCCAATAGCCCCAGATCTGAAGTACAACTCCAAGCACAACCACCAAATTCGATTTTTGCTTCTCTATACTCATTAAAAGGGTAGAAATAACCCCAAAACAAAATCTAAGAGATAAATGGTCAAGGTTCCAGCTTTTTACCTCAAATGAGCTGAGAATGGAGTAAAACTTCTGGATCTCCTTGCTTCTACTTGAACTTCCAAACTTCCTTCTCCTTCTCCAACTTCAAACACACAAAAAGATGCACAAAATGGCTTGAGAGCACTCAAACATGGCTAGGGTTTCGAGTTAGGGTATTCTGGAAGTGAGAGGGACGATGAAGGCTGGTTTGAGACGAGTTAAGTTGTTTAAATATGGTGCAAACCCTAAATATTAGGGTTTTGTCCAGACAGCTCCTACTCGTCGAGTCGATCTTCCGACTCGCCGAGTAGGTCACTTAAACCCCCGATCAACAGTCGAGTCTACTCGAAGAGTTGGGCCCCCAACTCGTCGAGTCCCAGAGTAAATTGGAATATTTTTTGAATTTAAATACGTACCAGGAATCGGGTGCTACAGAATATATTAATATTACAAACATTATGATCGACTACCTTGTGACA